TCTTTTACGATATTTGGTGCATTAGTTGGCAGCAAGGTAAGCAATTGAAATGTGCAACACGATCTGATGTGTAACACTGATACTGGCAACCGCTAAAGGAATCGAGTGGAACGCTTGAAATAACAATTTTCCACTTTTATCGGTGTGAATTAAATTGTGTTATTAGGCGGTTTCAGAGCCGGGTACTTGGACAATACCAAGCCCCAGCTGGGGTCTCCACCCAACACCTCCTGGTGATTATAATAATAATATATAATATTACAAATAGTAAAGGTTGCTGATCTCTTACCCTTAAGCTTTTTAGCCAGCAAAAATCTCTTCTCCTCTCTCTCTCTCAAACACGACATGACGACGGGTCCGTGAGACTGCGAAACCGAGCGACGATTTTCGAAATTACGAAACGAATACGAATCGCACTGGCACTTAACACTCGCTCCTTTCTTATTGCTTTTCTCCTCTTATTCACGTTGGATATTGGACAGTGACGGGGACAAATTTTGCCGCAATTTATTTTTTTTTTGCACATGTTCACTCATTCATATGCATCAACAATACACTTTTAACACTTCACTTTCACTTATTTCCTTATTTTGCCTTTGCCGCTTTGCCTTTTGTATTTGCCATTTTTCCGCCTGCCACTGGCCACTAGCTCCTTTCTTATTGCTCATTCCTTCGATTCTCCCTGAGTATTGGAGTGGCACAGAGAAACACCTCTGAATTTGTTTGCACACAAACACCACAAGAACACACTTTGCCAGAGATCACATTGTGTACAATACACTTTTCACTTTCACTTATTGCCACTTTTTTGCTCTACCGATCTGCCTTTGGTATGCCATTTTGCCGCCGCCTGCCGCCTTTCTGGATCAGGAACTTTTTCTTGCCATTTTCATTGCACCACTTTACTGCTTGCTACGATGCACTTCATTGAATTCGCGACAATTTTCCCGTAGGATTTTCCATCCTTTTCCCGATTTTTTCGACGCGAACGCGGAGCTAACTTAAAACCGCGTGCTTTGTCCTACCGAAAAATTGTAATGCCGTAGGTCGCTTGGTTTCTAGAACATTCCACGCTCTCCTTCTTCTCCCTCTTTCACGTACGTTTGTGTGTTTGATGAGTGACTTTAAATTTCAAAGTGTTGGAAGAGAGGAGAAGAGAAGCGCATTTCAGCAAACGGACAAAGAGAGGAAGAAAGAAGTAGAAGTGTAGATGTTTTGCTCTCCCTCTTTTGCTTGGGAATCCATTTTGCTGCGCGTCTGTTTTGCAATGTATTCTTATTTTGTTAAATGTTATTTGTTGCATTAATTCAGCGCTTTGGAAACGCTTTGATATATTCGCCGTCATCAAGCTATTCTTGGTGATCTTGTACGATATTTGGTGCATTAATTGATTTTAAATTTGTGCTGCTTATGGCCAGGTAAGCAATTGAAATGTGGATCACGATCACATGTTTAACACGGATACTGGCAAACGCAAAAGGAATCAAATCGAACGCAAGAAGAACGCAAGTGGCTTTGCCACTTTTGTCGGTGTAAATTAAATTGGTATATCAGGCGGTGTCTGAGTCGGAATCTTGGACAACAAAAAACCTGGGCTGCCTTCTGACACGACACACCGCCGCGTGGTGCATGGAAACTTGTTGACGACACCGAAGAGTGGGGGACAATTATTTACCTAGCCCAGTGCATTTATAGTTTGTTTTTATTGCACATCGATTGGTTTCCAAAACTCATTCGACATTTCCGTCAACGCTAATTAAACACAGGCCCGTGTTTGGCGGACTGTCCGTTTCTTGGCCAGCGTGCATAAATCCAGTTAACAAGTTAATTTCTTTTGCTAGTGGGTCGACATTGGCAATCCAAAGGCAATCGGACGAGAACCCCCCAACAACTATCCAGTCGCCATGGCAACGCCCAGCCACTAGCCACAGTCATAACAAAAAACTCGAATTGTCGCTGCCCGAAAACTTTTCCGTTCGAAAAGCAAATCTAATAAAACAAGGAAAAAGAGATATCCATGTACGAAGCCGGCTCGGAGCAGATCAATTGCAACGGCAGAATCATCGAATTGCCTAGCTTGGAGGTGGTGCGTCCAGGTTGGTTCCTTCCTTTTATTCGCTATACAAAAATATAAATTTATGTATGCTTTGCTTGGGGGAACAGCTCCCACAATGCCAAGCGATGCAAACATTGATTGGCTGCTCCACATTTACTTTACGAGGCACGAGTTTGGCCGCTGTCGCCGTCTCATCGGACGTGAGCTGAATCGTCATCTGAATGCCGAGTATCTGTACTTTGTCCTGGTAAGTTGAGGCGCTAATGCAGAGTATTTTTTCTAATCGATTGCCCCCGACAATCGCCATTGCCAGGGCCTAATTGACCGCGAAGAGGGGAACCACATCGAGGCGCTGCGACACCTGCAAAGGTCCCTGGAGCTCAATCCGCAGAACATCGAGACGTACAAGGAAATCGGACGGACGCTGTAAGTCAATTATCCCACACCAAGCGCACTAATCTGTTGTCCACTCATACTCCATCCACTTCCTCCACCCAAGGTACGTGATGGGTCGCTTTAGCCAAGCTCTCGACGTGTTCCGCGAGGCCGAGCAGCGCAGTCCCCGCAAAGACCACGAAATCTATCACTATCTGGGCGAGCTGCTGTACCGTGCGGCGACCACACAGACCCAACAGGAGCTGGCCAAGAAACAGCAGGACGAGGCTCGTGCATATTTCGAGCTGGCCGTACAAACGGGCAAGAAGCTGGAGAGCCACGTCCGGCTAGCAGAGCTCTATCGCAAGGACAAGCAATACCAGCAAGCCATCGATGTGCTCGAGAACTGTTTGCAGTGCGTATCCCGTATCCGTAACCGCATCCGTTTACGCTGCTAATGACATTTGCTGTAATTTCTTATCCACCATTTGATTTCAGTTTGACGCCGGAGAATGCCGAGGTGTTGATTGAAATCAGCGTTTTGTATTTAAAAATCAATGAGACCCAAAAGGCCTACGATCGCTTGGCGGAAGTCGTCAACATTGAACGGAAATGCTCGCCCAAGGGCCTGCTGGCCTTCGGCGCCATACTTCAGGTAAAGCCCACACACTTGTGGTAGGCAGGCAGCTCCAACTCCATCTCCACCCACTTAATTCAAATTCCTTTTGACAGTCCCGCAACGATGTCGATGGCGCCCTGGGCAAGTACAGCCAAATCGCAAACGCTGAGCCGGAAATTGCCGAACTCTGGAACAACATTGGTTTGTGCTTCTTCAAGAAGCAAAAATTCATTGCGGTAGGAGTGGCAGTAGCATCCGAATAACACTTCATTCTGATTGAATTTTGCATATTAATCTATGTACATTCCAGGCCGTTTCATCGCTGCGCAAATCCGTTTGGCTATCGCCGCTCAATTACAATGCTCTCTACAACTTGAGTCTCATCTACATAGCCTGTGAGTTGTCGGGGCTTGGCCTCTTTGTTTGTCCAATGAAAATTCATTGTGGGCTATGATTATAATAGATCTCTCTCTCTGTGGTATCTGGCCCATGGCACTAAGTTCATTTAAAAGTAGGCTTAACAAGTTGTCCTTGCATTCGATTCCATGAACCCCGTTAGTCGTATTTCGTACAATTGAAAAATGTATTCTTGCAGGGAATATGCTCAGGCAAAACGATACGAAATTCGAGCACAATTCCATTGTTTCACAAATCAACAGAGTTTTGGCCTTTGTTGTCGTAGGATCAGGACAAACCCGTGCCACTGGGAACTGAGTACTAATTAATACGAAGCTAGTCTAGGCCAAAGCCGGACAATGGCAACAATAACTGTGCTGTGGAACACTTGAGGCAGCCTCGCTGTATGCAGCAGGGGGCATTTTCATACATTCAACCAAAATTCTAACTAGGGACCATCCACCCCCACATTGTTTGTTGCCCTTGCCATGCCCCCTTCCTGTTGAGTTTGTAATTGAAAAGCAGGGCATCTGTTCTTTCCTTCTCGGACGCAGCGGAACAATATGCCAGCGCTTTTCACACGCTGGCCGCAGCTATAAACTTGCGCAAGGACAATGCCGAGTGCTACATGCTGTTGGGCCGTAAGTAGGACACCCAGCAAAGATGATCTCCACCCATATCCATTCGCAATTCCCCTCCACAGTCTGTCTGCGCAAACTGGACGATGTGGATAACGCTTTTGTGGCCCTTGAACGGTCCAGCAACATGGCCACTGGGCAGCCGCAGAGTGCCGCACGTAATCCTTTGGTATTCCTGAACTTTGCCCTCTTCTGCTACGAAACCGGACGCCTGACTTTGGCCGCGGAGCAGTACAATCGATTTCTAAGCCAGGCCCAGGACCTAATGCTTCCCACGGAAGTAAGTTGTGACGCAATAGCAATTGGCTGCAGCAAACCTAAATTCCACCAGTACAAAGGAATCGCTCTTTATACGCTTTAACATTCTCGCTTTCTCGCACAGTACAAGTTCCAGGCCACGAAACTCAAGTCCCTGCTGCGTATTTCGAATCATGTTAATGGAATGCTGCAACTCGATGCCGCTGACTCGGAGGAGACTGCTGTGGGAGCGGCAGCAGATGAGCTGCCCCTGGAGGTGAATGCCGTTGTCAGCCAGAACTGAGGCGGAAATCGATTAAGGACCCCAAGCCCCAAGCGACTGTCATCATCATCCCGAATGAAAGAGAAAATTCAATACTTATTGACATCAAAGATGCTTAACTCACATCAAACATTTATTTGAACGTGCTTACAGTTAAATAGAAATAGTTCGACACTCGTAAAATGCATCGATTAGGTGTATGTGTGTGTGTGTGTGTGTGTGTACTTAATATTAGAGAGTAAATTGTAACCGCAAGTCTGAAGCGAATAAATAGATCGATAGATGGAATAAACCTAATGCCACATGCCAGAGACGGGGGCAATGTAAACGCGTGGGCTCTTCGAGTCTCTTGTCCCCGACTGGCATGCGGCTTCAGCTTTGGTCACAGCTATAGTTACATATCCACACACAGATGTTGATTAGATCTCTTAAGTACATTTACATTTAATCAGCTTAGCCTAAATGCAACGACATCCATAACATTCTGAAACATCAAATATGGATAGGCTACTTATGCATTCCTTTAATGTTTAATATTTAATCTTAAGTCCAATAATCCAATAACTTTTATCAGCAGCCAAATGGTAAGGGAAATGGCACTTGCTTCAAACAGCCAACAGCCAAATCACATGTTGCGCGAGTCAATCAATTAACCGATCAATTTCCAGCGTATAACACAGCTAAGACCACTTTTAGAAAGTTTATAGTTTAGAGACACCTTTCAGGGGCATCTTTGAGATGCCACACATATCCAGGCGGACCTGACAGCTGCTCCTCCTTAGACGCAGGTGGTGGTGACGCGTGTCAGGCGGGTCATCTCTGTGCTGCCAAAGTGTTGCTTGAAGAACAGCGAACGGAAGGTGGTGCGGAACTGCTTCGACATCAGGCCATAGAGGACAAAACCCACTGCAGCATTGATTAGGGCCAGGAGATCCATTAGCTCGCCAAAGGGCGGGTAGCAGTGGGCAAAGAAGCACTTGTCCATCATCCCAGACAAGAGCCCCAGCAAACCCTGCGGAAACTCGGTGACCAGAAAGAGTACCAGCACGCCCACCAAAAGGAGAGTCGTCCGATCGTTGCGCCGATCGCAACGCGGTGGCCTTAACAGAGAATACATTTTAGACGGAGCTTTGTAAAAGCAACCATGTTGTACGCACCTCCTGGACTTGGTATCGTTGAGGCATAGCTGTACGGCGTACTTGTTGGCATTGGCGTAGTCCTTCAGCATGAGGCGGCGACGTGATGCCTCGCACAGGACATTCATGAGAACCACACTGATGACGGTGAGGGCAATGCACGGCAGCAGCTTAATGATCACCGAATGTATCCAGAAATTGAACCTGTAGAGTACCGAATCCGCATCAAAGTACGTATGATAGAGCGCCTCGTGATCGACAGTGTCCACGTCGTGCGTCTCGCGCACCTGAAACACAAAGTACGTGGGCAGACAGAGTATCGGCGAGATGATGAACGGAAATAGGATGGCCTCTCTGGAATGTGCGAGCAGAAAATTGGCACAGCTCCCATTTGGATGTCTGTGGAAGATAGATGGTAACATTTGGCTATAAAACGAAAGACGGGGGAAGAAGAACAGAAACCGGACATATTGCTGCCATGTTAATCAAATAAGACAGTTTGGGAAATGTCTATGATGTCTACTAAAACCAGATATGTATCGATGTGGGTTCAGGTTAGAGGAGATGGATGAGGCTGCTGCTGCTGCTGCTACGGCTGACTTTATCCCAAATGAATGATAATAGCCAAAAGGTCGAGTTTCGCATGCTTCTGGACTAATCACAATGGAGGTACGTCCACTCACCTGATAGCCACATAGCGCCACACGGCCAATGTTACGGTAAGGCCTATGGAAATTGTGTGCAAAATCTGAGTGAAATGCATATGCACCAGAAGGAAAACAGCCCAGCCATAGCTCAGATCCTTTTCACCTGCAGAACAAAATCGAATTAAGACAGAAGCAGGTGGGAGGGAGGTGGCCCTCCAACTACCCCACTTACCCGGCTCCATGTAGATGTACTGATACGATGTGTAGGGTATATATTCCAGCATCACAAACATATCTGCCACAGCTAACCATTTCAGTATGTTGTTGATGGGCGCCTTGGCCATTTCCTTACGGGTCAATACCATTATGTTCAAGATGTTTGCTATTGTGCCGAAAATGCAAATCTTAATGTGTGTGTGGGAAAACAAAAAACAAACAACAAGAAGGGTGGAATCATTTATAAGGATGAGTGAGCAGAGCAAACCACAATCACCAGTCCACATACTGCCAAGCTTTAAATGACACTCGGACAGAGTCCCCACTCAACGCTCCATCAAAGTGGAAATGTTTTATTCATATTATTCACGTTATGTACGAAATGTTGCCTTAAGTTTCCGCTTGAATGTTCCAATACAAAATTATAAAAAAAACTGTTGCAAAATTATTTTCAGTTGTCTGATTTTGTTGGCTTATTAAATCTTGCCACAATTTCATTTCGCAGAGCTAATTAAAACTGCAGGTAAACTCATTAAAAAGTTTATGTTTTTGAGGTTTTTCCTATGAAATATGTAGGCAAATGTGTGTGTTTGTGTGTGCTAATTCTTGCCACACAATGAATAAATTGCTTTTAGGTAACTATTTGTATATTTGCTGCATTTATCAACAAACAAACAAGCCACAACAAAATGTAATTCACGTTCCATTCAAAAAGGAAAGGGAGACAGACCCACAGAGGAAACCAAAGGCTCATAGACTTACATGACTGACTGACTACCTGACTTAATGGCAATGATTTGTGAATTGTGGCAAAACGTATTACTCTTATTCATCCGAGCAGCACAATAACGAGCCAAAAGTTCAAAGGTGTTGGAGCCGAAAAGATTCATCAGCAGCTGACGGATGGATGGGTGGGTCGGTGGGACAGTTTACCGCGTTCCATTTCGTGGATTTCCATGGCGATAAGGCCAAGCCTAGAACCCTTTACCATTTACCATTGTTTCTATGGGTTGATCATTAGTCTTGTTTTTTGTTGCTTGGAGTTGCGGATGGGTCTGGGCATGGGGTTACTTACCATTAGCGAGACATAGCCATGAATGCTGTTGTAGGCCTTCAGCCAGTTATAGATTTCACCCTGGCAGTAGCCCGAGCATTCGTCGTGAAGCAAGGATTGGTTGTTCCGCTGGAACTCGTGCATCAGCTTGACAAAGTCCGCAATCTCGCTGTCGGTTATCTTAAAGTCCCTCAGTATGGTGGAATTGAAGGGCAACGCCTGCTGCAGATTCGACTGCGACTGCAGCATGTTGCTTGTTATCTGCATTGTGCTGCCGCTGTCATCTATGGCATCAAACTTGTGGTTATTCATGCTGAAAACAACCATTTCATGTGCTTTATTATTCCAGTTAAATCATTGCCATTCCTGTTGGCTACCCAATTAGTCAAAATGCAGGCAAATTGACATTGCACGGGCAAGCAAATTGAACAAACAAAAGCCCAAAACTGCCTGCCTGACCAAGAGATCCCCTCCAAAACCCAACAGCGAATAAATACAACACATCGCAGCACCCGCAATGCCTCCGTAACGACAACAACTGCATTTTGGTTGCGTGTTTGGCAAAAGCTACGCAACGAGAAATGAGTATAGGAGTATCCTGCCTGGCCCTTCCTATTTGACCAGGTAATAGATTACAACTGCAGCGGCAACTGCAACATAATTAATGGCACGAGTACGAGTACGATTGTTTGTATTGCAAATGCCTTATTGCTGCCTGGGCGTAGCTAAGAAATTAATTGGCAATACCAGCAACCAACATTTACCAGTACGTGTGTGACTGGCACTCACTTGAACGCGCTTAGCATATGACACTCGGCCATGTGAGTGGTGCAAATCAAAGTCAACATGTCCACACATCGTCGAAGGTGTTGCATTTGGCTAATGGGCCACAAAATCGAATTTGGAATCTGATTCAGAATCTGAATCCTGTTCGTGGCCAGTTTCGCAATCTACGACCACTCCCCACTCCCCCTGGTGCCAGTCGACAGACAGCATTGCCTCATCGGGTATGCATAATTTTTGACTTAGCTCTGGTGGCTCAGTGGTTGCTCCAGTTGGGCCAGCTGGGACTGTCCATTTGTTGCCTGTCAGCGTTTTTGATGCTGATGGATTGGCCATTCGATTTTGTCAAACATTTTGCGACCACAACTGTGGCGAGTAATTATGCTTTACGATTGGACATTCCATCAAAATGAATTGGCCATCAAACAGAAGGACGGTGAGGTCAGGTCAGCGAGCGAGCAGCCAATTCAATTTGTTGCAGCTTCAAAGAAGCCCTCCCTGTGCGCTTTATATTGCGATTGTATGGGAGTGCTGCTCGAGATTAATTTCCCCCCATCACAGTCTAACGAGCACCCTTATTACTTTGTTCTACGAAAAGGTCCTGTTCCTGATTCCCTTAAAGCTACAGAGTCCTACCATGGGCTTCTCTGAGACTACGTATGCGTACGGTAGCCGTTTTCGGTCGCCTTTCATTAGAGGGTTTTTCATGATGTTCTTGCCTGGTGAGGTCTCTGTGCACATCTAGCTAATTGCATAGATATCCACAAACAGGTGTCACACACACACACACACACCTACACACAGGAAGAGAGAGAGAGAGAGAGAGATAGTAAGCGAAAGCAAAACAGAATGGCGCCATCAACAGACAAACTGTAGTTAAACACCAAAGATGAGCTTCCAGGCTGTTGCTGTTTTTTGTTTTTGTGCTTGTTTTGGTTTTTACAGTATTTCCGTGTGCATTTAATTAACGCCGAGCGCCGCTCCCCCATGTCCCTCATGTGTGGTGTGTATGAAGTGTGGATGTTTTTTTATGTCAGCAATTTACTGGCAAAGCGGCATCCATCCATTCAAGTTACTCCCGCATGGGGCCTCTATCTGCACTTGTTGACCATTAAAAAGGCATAAAAGGCAGTACACGCATTGCCAGGGCACTTAAAGGCCAGAACTATCACTTAAACGCTGTTGGCTGTTGGCTGTTAATAAGTGCACGGAGATACTCGTGCTCGTATGGATATCATCGTCCGATGGATGGCTAGTAGTCAGCTGCCATTTGGCAGCCCCAATTCCAATTAGCAAAGATAAGTGAATGCTCCATGCTGGTTGGGTTGTTGGAGAGGGGCATTGAGGGACGCATTGTTATTCAAATATCAGCCTTTGGCACAAGAGAAACTGGCAGGCAGTCAGAAGCTGGGATAATTACATAAGAGGATTGAATGCAATTAACTGATGGCCCGTTTGCTTTTTGATTCGCATTTAATTGATGCATTTACCGAGAAGAACTTACTATCGATTAACTATTAAAGCTGCAGTCAATTTATGGCCAAGCCACACTCGTGACTGAGTGACTTGAGCATGTGCGTTACTCCAAATAATTTACTGAATTATAGTAAATAAATAAACAAAAAAACTGCTTATGCTCTGATGCTGTTAGACAGTCAACAGTCTTTCGTTCTGTCGGATACAGATACGCACTCATTGACACACACACACACACACACACTGTTTGTTGTGGCATAGATTGTTGCTGCTGCTGCAACTTGTTTGTGCCTTTTTTGGTTCCATGTGGGGGCATGTGGATATCTCAGTATGTGTATTTTTCTCGTCAAAGTTTGAATTTTGAGGCCCAAAAACTCGCATTTTTTGGTCTAATGAGCGCATTTGGTTTAGTTTTGAGTGAGTTTCAACGCACAAATCGTATAAATACATCAGTTCTGACTGCCAGCGATGTTAGTTGAAGCGAACTACGTCGAATCAGTCGCCCCCCAGTGCTCCATTGTCCAGTGTCCGTGTGCCCCGTTCGAGTTCAGTCCATCAATCATGAACTTCGCTGTAAGTAATTCTATTCATTTTCTGGAAAATACATCGCTCAAAATGTTATTGAAAAATATGCGAAAATTGCAATTTTAAAACACGCTTTACCTCCCCCGGCCAACCAACCTCCTTTGCTTTTTTGTATTTGTTGGTGCTCGCTCGCTCATTACGCGCTAATGGAAAATTCTTGGAAAACCATGGAAAAACGCAGTGGCTTTTGCTAATAGCCAGCGCCAGCTGCATTCTGGCCGCACCCGCACCCGCTCCTCTGGCCGAAGAGCAGCAGCAGCAGCAAGAGGAGCTTGGCTCCGTCAAGGCCAAGCGTGGCCTGTCACTCGGTCTGGGCTACCACGCCCCATTGGTGACATCCGCGCATTACGTCGCCGCACCGACTGTGGTGCACCATGCACCATTAATATCACATGCACCGCTCATCTCGCACATTTCCCATGCTCCGCTCATTGCCCATCACCCGGTGTCGTACCACCTGCCCAGCTACCACTCCATACACTCCCTGCACTCCTATCATCACTTCTAATGAGCCAAAGAGATGAGGGAAGCAAGCAAGGAGCCGCACAGACGAGAGAGAGAGACGTCAGTGAGGAGCAACAGCGGAGACGGCACCAGCAGCAGCATGAACAGCAGCACATATCCTCACAGTTTTACTTGGCATTAGTTTTTGCACGATTTCGTAGTCCCTTTCCGTCCCTTCCACCATAATTTTGTACATAATCGTTGAAAATAAATACATGTGTTGAACCAGTCCTCCACCTCCAACAGCAACTGCAACTTTTGCCACAAACTCCACAGTTCTTGGGACAAACTTATTATCTAAATGGCTGCAGTAAAGTTTTCTGTTTACCCACTTGCCACTTGCCCGTGGCAGCAGCAACTCTCAAGAGTGAATCAGAGCAGAGCAACAGCAGCATCAGCAGAGGGTGTGCTGGGTTGGGATGGTTGTAGTCCCAGCAGTTAAATGCATTGTTAGTGCCAAGCAGAGCCACATTATAAACATGAACTGCAGCTTAATTATGTTTATGTCGCACTGCAATTGAAGCTGAAGCTGAGACTGAGGCTGACTCTGAAGTAAGCTCAAAATGCCAATAAATGCTGCAATTTTGCTGCACAGTCTGGCACTCAGTCGACTGACATTACATCATACATAATGCTTCAACTAATAATCCTCTTTAATGCCCTATAAACCTACCAGAGTTCTCATTTGGCTGAGTCATTTAGAAGGAAATGCTTTTCCATTGCAATTTCTAGTTATAAATGGCAGCTTAGGATCAGAGAAATTTCAAGAAACATTTCAAGCTAAGTCAGTACAGTACAATAAATTCATTCATTACACACATTTGCAGTTGTATTTGCTTGCACTAATTTCAACTTAAATCTAGGATAAACTAAAAATCGTTTGATGGAAACAAAAACACACAAATCATCGCACATGTCGGAAATTTCCAAGCTCGAGCTCTGCCCGCTGCACAACGAGGTTTGAGTTTAGTTTAGTCCGAGAAGCTGTCGCTCCAGTAGGTGGTGGTCAGGGGCGCCACAGACTTGAAGAGGTCCCTGCCTTGGGGCTGGCCATCCGTGGATCTGCGCTTGTTGTGATAACTGCTGTGCTCCTCGTGGCCATGGCGCAGGCAGCTGGTGCTCTGATGGCGCTGCAGGCGCTGCTGTGTGAGGAAAGTGCGCTGGCAGCGCTTGCATTCGTAGATAAAGCCGTGCTCATCGTGACGCACGGCCATATGGCGCTTCAGTTCGGCCCGCAGCTTGAAGACCTGTGTGCAGAGTTCGCAACGGAAGTGAGCACGCTCCAGGGCGTGCCGTTCCATGTGCGTCTTGTAGGCCCATTGCACTTTGAAAGTCTTCTCGCAGATTTCGCAGGTGAACACGCGGCGGGGATCGTGCGACTTGCGGTGCAGCACGTACGACTGTTTGCGCGAGAAGGTCAGGTCGCATTGATTGCACTCAAAGGGACCGCTGGACATCGAAGGAGAGCTATGGCCCTTCCTCTTCGGTGCACTACCAGATTCCTCTTCGTTGTCCTCACTGCCACGCTTCGTGGCCTTCTTGCGTCCACGGCCGCGTCCCAGCGGACGTTTGCGTTTCTCGCTGATGTCCGAGTCGGCCGAGTCACTCTCCGCACTGGTGGAGCCCGCCACATCCGACACCTTGAACTCCACATCGTCGTCCTCATCGTCATCGCTGGCCGAGTCGGAAACGGGCGCATCAATGACCACATACCCACGGGGGCGACGCACCTTGTTCTTGCCGCGAGACAGCCGCTTGCGTAGATCTCTCTCCGTGGTCTCCAGCTGCTTCCGGAACTGTATGGCAATGGTGAGACTGTTCAGGCACGTGCCACAAATGAACTGCGGCATAAAGTCCTTGACAGCAATGGACAAGTTGGGACAGAGGTCCACCAGCATGTCGGCTGGTGTGGCGTCGACTGTCTTCTTAAAGAGACTGACTAGACCCTCCTTGGTGGTGCACACGCGGCACTGATTCTCGTCCACTTCCTCCTCCTTCTTGCGCTCCCTGACAGCGGCTACAGGCTCAGTGCCTTCGGCCAGTTCGATGGGCTCGTCACCGAGGATTAGTTCGGCCTCCTCCTCGGAGGCTGTCTCAAAATTGTCTTCAGCGGCAGCACCATCAGCACCACCATCACCGGCAATATCCGTCTCTTCTTCTTCAGCATCGACGCCCAAAGATTTGGCTTTGGCAGCAGTATCTACCTCCGCATCGACGTCACCTGCCACGGGATTTTCTGATGCCGTATCGATGCTCGGCTTTGCAGGCGATTTGTTGGCGTTGTCAACTTCTTCAATGAGTTTGTGCACATCCACATCGGGCATTTCATCGTCTAAAAATTCTGCCTCCCCCATTGGCTCGGGCTCAGCAGCAGCAACAGCATTAGCTGCAACTGCTTTTGCACCTTCCCCCTCTGTTGCTGTTGCACTTTCCTCCTCTCTTGCTGTTGCACCTGTCTCCTCAGTTACTGTTGCATGGCCGGCTGTACCGTCGTCTCCCTAAAATGGAACATTGTGATGTGAAAGAGCCGTTGTGTGGGGAGCCACTTTTGATTGTACTATTACCTCTTGCAGGTAATCTATAATCTCGCCCACCACTGTTGCTGAGGATGCTTCTATCGGTTTATTCTGTTGCTGCTCGGTGCGTGGGTGTAGCTCCTGGTACATCGTCGGCGCTACACTCTGCGTACTGGTCTCCTCAGTGCCATTAGCAGCAACCACAGGCGCAATGTCGGCCTCCATTTCTGCGGGTTTTTTTTTTTTGTGCGTGCACCCCGGTGCTTTTTGCCTTTTTTTTGGCGCGGACTACCGGCGGTCTTTGTCGAACTTTTTCTTGCTTTTGCTGTTTGCAGATTTTTCACCGCGCACTTCGTTAGTGTCTCTTCGTATTTTTTTGCGTTATTTGTTTCTTTGAATTGTTTAATAACAATTTTTTCACGAAAATTTTTCAGTACACAATATGCCGTCGGCAGTGTGACCGCGGGATTATACCGCCCAACCCTCAGAAATATACCAAAATATACCTTCTCTTTTTAAAAATATACCGTAATATTAAATCATATTCCTCTATTTTAATGTTCTATTTGACATTTATAGCTAGTTAGGAGTCTCATCGCTAAACCTATAGTTTTATCAGATTTATCAATAAATTCTCCACATGAATGACTAGTATTGGCTGTTGTACATATTGGCGCAATGTACACATTTTTTCTCGCGGCCATATTGAAAATGTATACACAGCAAAAGGCTGTGCGGCCATCGATATTATCGACACACACTATCGACTGAAGCTATCGCAAGAGCTGCGCGGCAGGGAGGAAATATTTGAAAGTGAATAATTGACAATGGTGTGAATTTTGTTTCGGTGGAATAAATTAAGGAAACTTTTCGGTGTGACTTGAATATTTACGATGTCAGGGCAATTTAGTGTAATAAACATAATTTTCTACCTACCGGAGGAAGTAACTTTTAAATTTAATTTTCTCTGTAAATTTAATTTTGGCGCGTGTGTTGGCTATAAACCGGAAAAAAGCATAATAAAGCACCTACACCCACCCAAGGCCACCAACCCACAACAAAAATTCCTCATCTTGTCTTGAAACAAAACCGTGGCCCCTTGACTTTTCAACACGTAGATGCAGGATGCGCAGGAAAACAAAAGATAAACGTGATTTGCATAATGTTTCTTGTTGTTTTGCGCTTTACTTTTTTGAGGTTTTTTTTTTTGATGTTTTGGACATTAATTTGAGAAATGTGTTTCCGCGCACTTTGCCCATAAAAGCAACAAAACCCATCCAGAATCCACTGGTTCTGCACGAATTCCCCACCAACCGGGCCAATGGAGAGGGCAGAGCGGAGAGAAAAAAGGTGTTTTGGTTGGCACTTAGTATGGCTTTTAAGATTGCCAAATGTTAAGACCCTCAAATGGCTTTTACAATGCTCAAATGCAAATATTTCCATTCGAATCAATTTCCCGGACAGACTTTAACTGAAACATATTTCAATAATGGGACCGCCCCGACCGCACCCGCCCCCATCACATTGAGTTATATTCCACCCTGTTTGGACGGCCACTGAGTTGAATATTTATTTCAATTTGTGCTGCGGTCGCCAAGAGAGAGAAATGTTGACTTTATGTTGCCTAATATTCCTGGCTGGCACCATACTCCTGATTGGGGTGCAGCGGGCGTTTCGGCTTTAACGCTAACAGGTCCTGTCAGTATGTGTTTGTGTCCTTCTTCTCACTTATTTTCCTCTTGTGCCTGATTTACGTCAACAATTATATCGCTGAGGAACGTGCAGAGGCACCTTGCCTACTTGAAATAAACATCCTCATCTCGTCACGGAATCCTTGATGCTCTTTGATTTAGTCATGGTTGCCATTGCAACTGTGGGCAGGCTGGCAGACTGCTGACGATTGAAATAACCAAACCGCTTATGAATCAAAAGGCACAACATTGGGGTGTAGCTATGGCGGCTTGGCTTATAAGTAACAAGGTAAATAAAGCGTTACGTTGAGAAAATTACTGAGAAACTGATAAACATAAAGAAAGCACGGCCATGTCAACTGACATGTGCATGCCACTCCCCAGCGGCGTCTGCTGTCGGGACATGATTAATTATGAACAATTGCCGCTATCCCAAAGACAAACGTGCAGCATATGCTGCCAGTTGAACGGCTTTACCAGAGACGCTTTTTTGCACCCACACATGCCACTGGAGACAAAAGTCCTCAGGAGTGGATGATGATGTTGCTCAAGTCTAATCCAACTGAGAGGACTGCTTCTTACTCGTTAAAGTATCTGCATATATAATTCTTCAACTTAGGACTTTCCACTGAAACAAAATTGGTGAATTTAAGAACTGATCAAAGATTTAAAACAGGAGAGTGCATTGGTTGTCCACGTCGGAGACCACACGCATCAAACTTAAGCTCTCAGTATTCGGCCCCTGTCCATAACCTTGCGCAAAATATAATCTTTCTGCTGGCCGAAGTTTTTGTGTGCCGCCCATGAATTTTGTGAAGGATTATGTTCGACTTAGCGGCTTTGATATTGTGTTACTGACTGTACAGAAGTTTGTGCCTGCCGCATCCACCATGGCAACTGGAAGTTGGAAGGCATCTACGTGCAATGGAAATTAGTTGCCCCATAATATGATTTACCAGTTGACGGGCAGCCGACGTCTGATCCATCAAATCGAATCGATGAACGCTGGAAGCAAGGTATTAAATCTAATTTACAGACACCCGCCGATGCGACACGTGGCCGTTGTTGTGGGTGTTTTGGGTGTGGATGTGTACTGCCCCAAGAGAACAAATCAAAATGCCCCACAAAACATGATGATGAAGCATGCCCTTGGGCGAGATTAGAGTGTGGCAGCTTGAAAGTTTCCACTGCCCCACTCTTGTATTTATATTATTGATTTGTTTTATGCACCCACAGCTGGAGGCGCACAATCTAAATTAGAATTATTAATACTAATAGCGCTTTAACGAAGCTTTTAATTAAGCCTCATTATCATTAAGGCGCTTCCACTGACACTGTGGTGTCACATGTTCTCACTCATATCATCCACTTACTCGTTGTGGGTGGGAAATTCAAGCTAGAATATTAAGATGAGTAGCCCCGAGGACTTCTTTATCTGTGGGAATTACGAGTATATGCTGATGGTAATGTTTATGCTAATTAATGAGACATTAATCATATTCTTATGCGGATGCTCACGACTCTTTCGTCAGCCTTTTGACGCACATTAAGCATTCGCAGCGTGAAGGGAGACTAAATGACAAAGTAAATAAAAGTGCGTTGAAGAAGGTTTGCCGGGGCTTTCCCAGCTAAGAAAACCAAACAAGACACTTGCAGACTGGCTGTCAGACACCCCATATGACATGCGTTTCCCTTTTCTCCTTGGTGCACTGCAAATACTTACATTTGTACGGCTAGGTGTGTGTATGTGTGTGTGTGTGTGTGTGTGCACTAAGCTGAGGCAGCAAATAATAATTTATAGTCATATAATTTAAAAAACCCTGGGGTAACATGTTTATGCTTAGCTGCCACTTAGCTGCCGCCCCCAAAGTGTCTTCATTTGTTTCAATTTCTTTTCTCTCTCCCTCTCTTTTTTGTGTGTTTGATCTTTAAAGCCCAAAGCTAATTTATATACATAAATACCGTAGCGTATCCTACATCTATGAGTGTAACAAATTTGCACACGGCCCTAAATTCAACGAGTAGCAGCGCTGATAAAAAAAAAATATATATACAAAATAGGAAGAAAAAATAACAAAAAGTGCAGAGCGTCTCCCATGAGGGGGGTTCATTATTAATATGAAATCGCTGGCTGTCTAGCTTGAGGCTGGAAAAGCACACAGCACGGGGGTCATAGATTACAATTATTGGGGGGAAAATGACAGGCCCATAAAGATAGCCGATAAGAAGCTTAACGCTGGCCTCATTACCCACCCACACAAGCACACACATGATTGTTATTTCCGCCAAAACGATTGCCATGTGTCTGCCCCCTCTCAAACCCAATTTGCAGCCAGAAGACGGGAAATGGAAGCCAGGCAGGAGTCGTCCGTTGGCATTCGCAATCCTTGGGTTAGGTCTTCCCCAGGTACGGCACTTGGAAGGAAGTGTAAGTACTACGATCTGCTTCTGCTCTCTGCCGTCTGACGTCTGACGTCAAATGTGTAAATGAGTCACAACTTTTACACGCATTACAAGAGTACGAATTGATATGAGTACTATTGATTGAAAGGACATGAAACACTTGTCCAATTATATTTTGCACATATTTAGCAAAGCAGCTGTTTGCCATGCTCCCAAAAGGGTCCCCACATATTTGCATATGTTTTTGCTCAAATTCAATTTTGCAGCAACGAGAGAAATTCTCCAGCTGACGTAATTTATGGAACGAGTAGAACAGAATAAACAGAGAACAGAATTAAATCGAATCGAATACCATACAAATTTTACTTTCTTTTGGCCCCTGACCGTTGCGACAAATTAAGCCAACCGGTTTGTTTATAAATCAGTGAAACACAAGCCGACAAATAATCAACATTCCTCTTTCATCTGGACCGACATTGTGCTGGTATGGTGACACTTTTGGGAAATGCCCAGAATGTCTGTAGAACAGGGCAGTCGTACAATGAACTGTCGCCGACGATAATCGCAAAACAAAACAAATCGTATGCAAAGCAGCTTCAATGTCTTCAACATAGGAACATTTTTTGGCACAACTTTCAGAGGGTAGCGACTAGTGAAATGCTTAGTAAATGTCGGGTAATATTACACTCAATTAGTGTCTGGGCAACTAAGTTAAGCATATGTACATGGAAATGTTCACTCGGGGAAGTTGGAAGCTGAGTTCATGCTGCAAATATTAAGTGCCTGCAAAGGATTTGAACACTGGGAGTGAGCGCCACCCGGTCAGAGCTACTTCACAGGCCAATTGGTAGCTAATATTAGTTATTTTCGTTCGAGTGGTGTTCCTGTGTTGTTAGTGGCTGTTAGAATTCCCCAGTCCGAGCATCCAGAATCGTTTATTCTTTTGCGAAACTCGTTTGGCCCGCTTCCAGTGCGGACATTCCTCAGATTAAGTATACTAGTGTCAGATATTCAGACGCCACTCAAATTATTCGGTTAGACCGACACCAAAACCAAAACAAGAAATTAAATTCATAAACAGCTGCGCATCTCCCATTCTTTCTCTCTTTTAATCTACATGTGTATGTGTATTGGCCTCTCTCCCTCACCATTTATAGGCGGAGAGGCTTTCATTGATCCCATACCAAACCGTTCCATCCCGTTCTTGTCTCGAGTATAAATAGCTGCGGCGCCTCTTGCAGAACCAATTAGACTCCCAGCAAACCCACAAGAAAGAGCATCATCAAGCTTAGTCCCAAGCCTAAACCCCGAAGCACAAGCCAAAATCCGCAAATATGTCGAAATTCGTGATGGTTGTCCTGGCATTTGCCGCCGTCTGCCTGATCCTTGCCAGCGCCGCGCCAGCACCTGCCACACAGCTGTTGGATGCACAGACAGCCATCCAGAAGATAATTGGTGAGTGGGCGCACACATTCATGCCTCATCCCTTTAGTACACATGTAAAACTGACTGTCATCCATCCTTGCAGCTGCCTACAATCGTATTCCAGGACGCTCAATCGTCCACCCGTGGGAGGTGGCCACCGTAATTGATCCCAACACATTTGTGGTCAACTATTAAAAGGACTCTGCCCAGTGCCATGACAACTTGTACAAAATCTATCTCCCATTGCGCCACCCATTGATATTGAATAAAAAACTGAACAATAATAAGCCATAATTTGCCCTCTCATTGCCGTTGATATTAAGTTTAAATTGTGATAGAAATAGTTATGCAGATGTTGCACCTGTTTTGCAATTATTTTTTTTGAAATTGTCGAATTTGGATTGCGAATTTAATTGCCTGGCAATAACCGAATAACTTGTTGCTCCACCTCATTCCCAATGCAAATTTCCAGAGCGCTTAGCGGAAAGCTGGCAAAAATAATCAACAAAAGGTTAGCTGAGAATTTGCCAAAATGTCAGGACTCTGGAATCTCTAGAGAATGCCATTCTACTCGTGCTTTCAGTTCGGATGGAAATGCATTATTCTCACTAATGCAGACAAGCGGTTTAAGGGTGAGACCCTTGCAATATCTCCTTGATTTTCCAGCTAGGGCGGGGGGCTTTTTGTAATTAAATCAAAGTTGTTTTTGTAACTGCAAGCATTTAGTAACTTAAATTAACGTGTTTTTTTGTACATTAAAGAGCTTTTGATTAAAATCTTACGAGAAAAAAATCAAAAAGAGCAGTTTGTAGTTAATTATAAAACAACCATATGGACAATTTCCGGCTTTAAATTCTATGATTTTTCCCTGAGGATTACCTAATGAGAATAATATTATATTGTTGCTTTTCCATTATAGCATTTTGTCCGGTCTCTTGGCCCTTAGAGCATTTCCACGTATTCGCATCGAAAAGTCTGCAGAAAAAAGTTTTTGACTGGGAAACTTTATTCAAAATCTATTTTATATTATTTTTTGTTCTGGTTTGTTTCGATAACATCTCTAGTTGTGTTTGTGTTTTATGTGGGAAACTTGCATGAAACAGCAGAGTGAATAGTGGGCTATAGTTTGACAAAAAGTGGATTTCGTGGGCGGCTTGGCATAGGGGGGCGGCAAAGTACAGGGAGCTCTCCAGCTGGCACAGCTGTGTTTACCCAGCTCTTGTTTTGGCTGGAATATCGAGCTGCGAGCGGCCTTCAGTGACCTTGTCTGCGCTGCACTTGAAAAATGCCATTGCCATCAACATATTGCCATCAATAGCAGTTAGTTGTGCGTTGTGTTGTGCCACTGCCATGGACAGGGACAGGGACAGGGACAGGGACAGGGGCAGGGACAGGGACATGGGACAGTGCTAAAGGCCTTGCCGATATTACATGTCTCTCAACGTATGCGTGCCGCGCCCTGCTCTAAAGCCAGCGCCATAAAGGGATAACGCTGCTGGATACGAGTCCATATCGAAACCCTCGCACACGAAAACAAGTCAAGTGAAATGAATTTCGCTTAGCCGTGGTCCGTCAGCAACAGGCCAATGTAAAAAGTTTATCTACAGAGTCTACAGAGCACTTGGTTTTATGCCTACACTCAGGAGGAGCGAGCGGTTAATGCTAAAAATATTCATGGGGCGGCAGGGACATGTGATATAAAAGTGCAACTTAATATGCACATCCAATGATGCCTGAGTGATTGAGCATTGGGTAAACGGAGCTCCTGTCATGGCTTGGGCCGAAGAATAATCCTAGTAGCTTTTTTACTTTGCACAAAATGTCACTGCAATGTGTAGATATTCCCAGCTAGTTAGGCACCATGACTAGTCGCAAGTCATAAGATTTATATGCCAATATTTCCGTATTTTCTTTTCCCTCAGCCACACAACTCATTAAAAGATATTATGGTGTACCTTTGGCAAAAGTTTGTACCTTGTTTATGCTCTTAATTGGTCTATAATATAATTGCAATTTCCTCTTTCGTTAGTTAGTTGAGCGACTCAGTCTACTAATTAGTATTCGCACGAGTGTGAGCTTCTTAGTAATTTACGAGCCTGAAAATTCGGTTTTACGAGCACTATTTCGCCCACAAGTGTTATAGTGTATCCGTTTAGGAGTTTACGAGCATTCTTTGGATACATGTATATTTATTGGATGTTTATTTTGATCAGGAATTCCCCAATGGAATGCGCCGGCAAAAACAAAAAAACCCAAAGCACCATTTCTTCATCAATATTTAGGTTTGTTGATGGGCAGGGGAAGATTTGTCGCATGCGTGGGGCGCATAAATTTGTTAACCGCTTTCAAACTACATCCATGGATTAGAATCCATCGATTAGCAATGCAAATTCTGGCCAGCAGAGCCCCATTACCATTATAAATAGACCGTGACTTACCTCCTCCCATCATCCAAGTGCACGTATCGCGCCCAGCATCTGAAGTGGCAAAATTAATTATTCAAAATACTGGCGCCACCAGATCGTGCTAAAAACAAATAACAGAAAAAAACACACACACACAAAATAAATAATCAGACACACAAATACAAACATGTATACAACAAACAAACCGAGTGTGGTGGGGACATCATTATTGGAAATTTGATATTAAATTTCAACCAACAAGTCAAAAAAAGTTAATGCCTGGCCCAAAGAGTTGATCGACTATAGCAGTGCTCTTGGTTGGCGTTTTTTTTTTTTGACTAAAATTAAATGATTCCGTGTACCAACATCCAATGGTTAAGGAATATTCCCATTTATAAATTTATTTATTTTTTTTTTAGCTTTTTCCAGTTGCAATGCAATCCCTTAGCAACACGAATTCGAATTTGATTTCCCTCCCGCCGGCGTCAATTGAATTTTTTGCACCGTTCTAATTCCATTTAATCATTTAGTAAACTTTACTTGAAATAACAAACTAGAACCCGCATAATATTACACCTATTGATGCCAAGTCAGAAAAGGCGTAAAATGTCTTGTTTCTGTCAACTTTATATGAAAGCATCTTTGCCCTTTTGTAAATTGATGCTTTTCTTTTCGGAGCAGAACTCCACCCATCCGTTTACTTTTTTCGCTGCAAACTTTTATATTACGTTTATTTTTAGTTATGCTTTGCACTTGCTTAAGCGCTCTCTCTCTCTCTCTCTCTCTTTTGTACGTCTGTCTCTATGGTGATAAGCGAAACGCTCAGCGTTGTCAATTCTTCAGTCAGTCATGCCAAGGGCATTACGAAACATTTCCCCTTCACATGTTCGAAGTTAAATGCGGTAATGCAATTTACTGACATTTTACCTGCCTGAATGGGTTTTTTTGTATCTCTATAAATAAGAGCAGAGAAAGAAAAATGCATGCTTAGATGCCTGCAGAATCGTAAATAAATTAAAGACAAATATAAATAAAATGTTCCACGGCATTTTTGTGTCAACTTTTCCATGGAAAAGTTTATGTGTGGCTGTTGTTTGTTTCTCTATAAATAAGAGTAGAGAATGAAACAAAATACAATGCAGTCAGTCATGCAAAGGGCATTAGAAAACATTTCCCCTTCACATGTTGCTAAAGATGCTCAAGTCTGGAGCAAAAAATGTGCGGCATATTGTGCTGAGTAAGTGGAGGTTGTGCTTATTACGTTCTGTCGAAATCCAAAGTTATGCTTATTCACTCATTCATTCAATGTATACTGTACATCACATGGAGGATTGTTTATGTACAAATGTGCAAAGTTTTTAAATATTTTGTTAATTACTCATGTATGTACAGGAGCATTATTCGAAGACATATCGAACCAGGAAGCGGTGCACTGAGCCGCGGTTAAAAGGATTCGTGGTAGATAAACACAATTATTCATGCCACAAAGCAACAAAATGGCACAACCACAAGAAACGGCGAAAGCCTTGCCACACCACAGGCAATTATCTGAACAAACATGAGCTGAGCATTATCCATACCATACACCACGCGCCACGCTTTAACTTTTCTAATGGAAAAGTTCTGGAAAATCAGATGCTAAAGTCTGAAGCAAAAAATGTGCGGCATATTGTGCTGAGTGTGTGAATATTGATGCGGAATAACGATCCCTGCATGCTGGATCTCATGCGTGTGAAGCGTGTATAAAGGAAAAACGCTAAGCTCCGTTGACTGACAGTTTTTCCGCCATATTAATCCAAAGCTCCGGGGACGCTTCAGCTGCAGACATTCAAGAAGCTGTGCCCCAGCCTGTGTCGTATCCATCAAAATTGATGGCTCACGAAGACCGGTTACTTATAGACAGTCATAAACGTGAAACATTTGCCAAGTCGGCACTAAACCCAACGTTCTGAGCCCTAACGACAGCCGAGAGAGCCCAGCAAATAAAAGAAAAATCAAATTATAATCATGAGATGAGTGCATGAGTACACTACTGAAATGGCAAACACAAACAAAAGTAAACCGAAGTAAACGTGAAGCTGTCTGAGATGGGGCTGTCTCCCCTCTTCGGCAGCCTCATTAACAGGCATCAATGGACGAGCTCAGATTATTTGCATAATCCTTTAATGCTCACGGTTCGGGTCAGGGAACTCTAATTGAAATGCTGCTAGTTGGTCTTAGTGGCATTTGTCTGGCTTTATGGATTATGGTAATTTGGTCAACCAGTTGCTGCTTATGTGCAGCAATCACGACTGGCTGGCTGCGTGCAACCTCTTAATGCAATCCCCTTAAAGATATATTAAATCATATTAAAGTGCTACCCGAATGTGACCAATTTGCGAGTTCGAGTATTTACCAGAACACACACAGAGGTGTGGCAAAGGGTGACACTGGTGACATATTCCATCATAAATCAAGGGGCAGTACGTTCGTAGAGCTCCCTCGCACCGTTGGTGGTCTGCGGTTACGATTTGGTAACCGGGCGACAACCAGGCGCCACATGCCAAAGAGCGAGTTGTGCCACACGGTCACAGGTGTACCACACCAATTAATCATATGGGATGTCTATATGCACAAACATATAAATTTCTAGTCTCCTCATCGACGTGCGATGTGCGATGTGCGATGGCTCAACAGGGAGTGGCTGGCTATTGGATTTCCGCTCGATTTAACATGTTTGATTAAAATCAGCGAAATTGCGTTTCCCCCACATACTGTCAAGCAGATAGGACAACACACGGTGATTATGTTATACTTTGCTTTATATCCTGCACTGCATTCACTAACCGTTTTTGCAATGATTTAAATTAAAAGGAATC